CAGTTTGGAGCAACAAGTAAATATTAATAGTTACATTTCAACATTAAAAAATAAATAAACCCCCCACACCCAACTTTCCCACTGCGAATAAGAAACAAGCCCAAATTGTCAAAATAGTCAAACCTTCCAAATATGCAAGTTCTACTAATTATACATTTTCCAAAATATATGACTATAAACTTATAAAATGGACTGGTCTAAGTATCTTTAGGGCAACTCACCTGAATAACTTATATTCAAATTTCATGAAGGTAACAAGATTTATGAAAATAACTATCTGTACTGCCCAATGCTCACACAAAGTCTGTAGGTAGCTACATACTTAGGAACTGACATTATTTAATCAATAAAGAATATAAATCTCTACATTAACTTTACTTAGAATTCTCAGATGTGGATGTATAAAATACACAGTACATCTGTCAAGATTTAAAGTGACAAGAGACGTAGACATTTATAAAGCACCTACTATGATGCCAGGTGCCCTAATCTCCTGATCTCATTTGATCCTCTCAATTCTGTGAATTAGGTATTATCCTCACGTCAATGATGAAACTGAGTTAACTAACTTGTCTGTAACCAAGTGGTAAAGTCTGCCTGACTCAAAAATACATTTTGAAAAAATTACTTCAGATAGTAGTTTAATGTGAGAAATAAGACAAAATTGGCTACTGGGCATGTTTTTAGCAAACCTAGTGCTTCAATCTAAAAAATATTTATACTTGCTTTGTAACTTGGTTTCTTCAGACGGTTTAAACCTTTTTTTTTTTTTTTGAGACAAGAGTCTCACTCTGTCACCCAGGCTAGTGTGTAGTGATGTCACCATAGCTCACTGTAACCTCAAACTCCTGGGCTCAAGCGAGCCTCCTGCCTGAGCCTCCCGAGTAGCTAGTACTACAGGCACACACCACGAAGCCCGGCTACTTATTTTCTATTTTTAGTAGAGATGGGGTCTTGCCGTGGCTCATGCTGGGCTCGAACTCTTGAGCTCAAGCGATCCTCCCGCCTTGGCCTCCCAGAGTGCTAGGATTATAGGCGTGAGCCACCACTCCCGGCCAGTTTAATACCTTTTTCATGTGTGTTTATTGCTTCTATTAGACTGTAATTTCATTGCAGGCAGACAAGGAACTACATTTTCTATCCTTTTGAACACTAATAGACTGCTGATCACTATTTTGTGAACGTTTGGCACTTAGTAGATTTGTTTTTTAGTAAATCTGAAAAACAAAATGACTCTTAGGAAGGTTCCAAGTATAAAAAAATTGTTCTCATTTAAAATAACATACACCAAAAGAATATGAAAATATGTATTTATTACCAACAAAGTGGCATTTCCCACAAAGTTTTTTTTTCAATTACACACATACACACACACACAATAGCAGGAAGAAATTACATTTTTCACATACTGAAGATTTATACTCCAAAGAAAACAGGCTTATGTCCAAAAGACAATTAGAAAAGCAGCAAGAAATCTTTCACTTTGAATATGGGAAACCTTTTAACAGACTCTTCTTAGGCAAATCAATGAGGACTTAGTCATCAAAAACACTTGTTGCCTTAAGGTTTTAAATATTTGTTCATCAAATTAGGCTTTTACTTGAAGATATTACAATTTGTATGTAATTATAAATCAACTTTTGCAGAAAATATATGAAGTTTTAAGTGGCTGAGACTATACTGTGCTAGACTTATTATTCTTAATATGTTAAAATGGTACATAATTTATCCTTCATAGCTCAAAATTCAATGTAAAATCTAATATTAACTTTGTCCAGTAGAGAAATATAAATGCTTATAAACAAGGTAATGAAATAATTGTTGGCATATGTAAACTGAAATGTAATTGACCATTTTCAAACATGCTTAATCATCACACTTCTTTTTCACATTGATATTTTGCAGAAATAAGATGAAGTGGTACTAACTTAGACAAAAACAAATTACACCAAGCACATATTAGTAAAGCTATTTTGGTGGGAAACAAAGTATTTAATAACAAAAAGATTTGGTAACACCCACTTAATAATGTTACCAA